AAATATAAACTGGTAAGCAAAAAGCGCTGGCTAAATTACCCGTCAAAAAGATTTCCCGAATCTCCATCCTGAAAGTTTTTCCTCAACGATGAATGCTGGCCACGCTATGCGCAATTGCTACAAAAGCTAGATGTAATTTGGGAAATACACATCTTTGAGTTTTTTTTCTGAATCAACTTGTTAGATTTTTTATTTTAAAAGTTTTCATTACTGTTAATTTTACGAAAACGCTAGTCATTGTGACTTTCTGTAACGATTATTTTTTCGGCAGCCAAATGAAGCTTCCCCGAAATGTTTAGTACAAATAGATTCTAGCCACATTGGTGGGAGTAACGAGGGACGGTTTTTTCTGATAGTATGTAGCATCAGTTTTCCGGAAAAAAAAAACTTGCTCCACGATTTCTGGCTCTGCGCGGTTAAAAAGAAATTCATAGAAGTGTTTCATCATGTTAGGATTTTTGGGACTACGCTTTTCCTTAAAGCAAAACTTTTTGAGAGCCGTTACCCTCTTTAGAGAGAAAAATGATCTTGTCTATTCTATTCATATAATTTTCTTATTTTGCGCCATCACTAACTGAGGAATTGCAGGATTCGGCAAAAATGGAGGTAGCTGGAAGCGCAAATACAACAAGCGACTGTGAGACTTATGCTGCCGATTATTCGAATCTTCAGACGTTGGAGCAAAGTACACCAAGTACGCCAACAGAAAATTCAAGATTTCCGGAAAGTACGGGAGGTTTGCAATCAAGGCTGCAGTACATGCATCCATTTTCCGGTATATATACTCCGCCTGTGCTTCCTCTTTTGTCGCCTTTCGTGCCTCTTCGTAAGTTCCTGCAGTCTTATTGTTAACGTTACATTTCTTATTGGGAATTTTAACAATATTTATCATGATTCTCTCTACAAATTCAAGTACTTTTATCGCATACTTAGTAAATGTAGTATAAGAGAAATAAAGCCAAGTGATTCAGGATGGGAGAGGTTTACAAAGCTGTGTTCAACGTGTTGCTGCATCTCAGTAACACCAAGGACTTGCTCTCACTTTGACGAGGAATGTTTCAAATATTACTTTTGCTAACAAGTACATTAGAAAAATATAGATATGAAGATGAGCGCGCGCAAGGATTGCTTGTGTGATCATGCGTTTTACATTACTGCATGAAGCAGTCAAATTGTAACAGTAGAAATGGCTGTCGCTTTGCAAATCATCCTTGTTTAATTTTAGCTTGATAGCTTTACTG